CCCAGCTCCATGTCTTCAGGCACACGGAAGAAAAGCAGGCACCCCAGAGCTCCTGTGTTTACTCATTCAACAAACGCACAGCAAGTACTTAGTGCGAGCTGGACAGTCTCAGAACTGGTGGTGGTGATGGGAGAAAACATGGTTCCTCTTCTTGACTATTTGCTGCCTGTCTGTTTGGGGTGACAGGTAACAACAGATTCCCCTCGAAGTGTGAGGGATCCTAGGCAGGGTAAATGGTCAGACCTCATAGAAGGGGGCTTGACTTAACGGGTAGGGAAGGTGCAGGAGGAGTCAAGAAGGAGCCATCTTGCTGCAGCATGAATGGTTTGAAATAGAAACCGGAGGGAGAGAGAATCGTTCTGAGATCTCAGAAAGATGAAGAACAAAGAACAGTGGATTGTCAGGATGGAAAGGAATAGATGGTCACACAGAACAACCATGGAGGCACAATTCCATTCATTGCAAAACCGAGCCATCATGGTGCAGGGTGTAATACAGATGATAAAGCTATGGGGAAAAGCAGGCACGTAATTACCACAAGAGGTTACTTTGGGGTAGACATCGGGGAGGTGACTGGGGGGCCATAAGTGGGGGCTCAGCGTGCTTTAGTGTTCTATCTTTGGACTTGGGAGTGGTTACACGAGGATCTGTTTTGTGAGAAGACATGAGATTAAACATTTTAGTTCTTTATGTTTTTTGCCTTAAAAGGAACAGGGGTGAACATGAGAGAGCAAATAACCCGGAAGGTCCGAACCGGTGACAGCAGGCTCCTTCTTGGGGGCTCGCTTTGTCTGCATCAGCACCTTTGGAACCAGGGTATGCCCTCCAGCGGTGGCAGCTCAGATGTGATGGGACCTGTTTGCTCAGGGCCCCTCACCTGCCAGCCGCCTCCCTCTAGGAGGCCTCCCACCTCCTGAGCAGTGCCCACAGCAGGGTGGCACACAGCAGCCAGTGGCCCCGAGATTGTCAGGAGTGAGGCGAAGAGGGGACCCAGAGCATGCTGGTGATGACCAGAATCGGGAGCAAAACCCCCTCCTCAGCGTCTGACCCGATGCCCCTCTCCAGCCACAGAGCAGGGTCTGCTGCAGCTCGCTGTGTGTCACGTCCCTGGGTAACCTGGCCAGCCTCACAATGAGATGCGCATGGGCTGGGAGGTAGGACAATCTTGGGACGGTGGGTTTGATGGTCGAAGAGATCAGGGACCTAGGAGCCAGAAAGAGCTTAGCTTCCTTCTGGCCGGGCCCCAGGCACAATTCACTCTTCAAGCTGAAAGTTACCTTCGGTGTCATTTGAGCCCAGTCGGGTGTGCTGTGGAGCTATAAAGGGAAGTAAGGGACAGTAGGAGGGGCTTAGGTTAGATTTCAGAGGCACTTCCTGATGGCAGCTATGAAACACCTATTTAATATAAATGCTGCAGTTTGTGCCTCTAAAACCCCTAAATATGCAGCTAGATGGCATCTAGCAGGCTTCAGGGTGTTGGGCGGTGAGTCAATGGATTATATCCAGCCACGCCATCTCTGAATCATCCCCCAAGTCCAAGCTGAGGCTGGAAGACATAAAACAGCAGGAATCCAAGCTTCCCCAGCTGCCACTATGGGCAAACTCGACCTCTTCCCCCCAGGTAGCACTGTCCAATCGTGGAGTCTTCCGCTGGCTCTGACAAATGATCTAGAAAGCTTTCACTTCTTTTTAGTGGAATACTGTCCACTTCCAGAAGAGTGACTCCAAATAATCGGAGAGCAGCTGCCAGGGTCAGAGGCTTCCATGATCCCACTTTATCCCTCCTCTGACCCAGGCCCCAAACCTTTCCAGCCGTGCTATAAGCAGCACTGACCCAATCCCTGTCTGTCCAGGGGCCAGGACAATTTTGACTCTGTCCCCGGGACTCGTGGTCTGAGGCGCGTACGAGCTGGACCGATCCCATGAGCGCTCAGTGGTGGTGCCAGGAATGTTCTGGCCGACACACCTGTTCCCAGAGCCGGGCTAAATCCCACCACTCACCCACTGCCCGCACTGGGTGGGTCCAGGAGAAAGATGGGGGGACTGGTATGGCGTAGTTAGGGGCTTATCTCCTCATTTGTGAGAACAATCAGGCAGTTTTTGCTGACACTGCCTCTTGTAGCTCTCCACTAGATGGGAGCATGGTGATCACTGCCTGCTTAGAGCACACATCACGGTCCTTCTGTGGAAGGCCCAGGGACTTCCCTCTCTAGTGCTTTTCCTAGGCTGGTTTAACTCTAAGTCCTGGGCCAAGGTTCTTGCCTGTGTCTCCTTCTCCTTGTCTGCTGCAGAGTTTTGGTTGCTCTTCAAACACCTTCCCCGGTGAATCTTCCTGGGTCAGGCCTGCCCCATCCCTCTCTTCCGTCCCAGGTGCTTAGTGTGAGCTACCCTTTCACAGAGGTGCCCCCGACACACAAACCTTCCCTTTCCGTCTCCGCGGAAGGCTCTTAAAGTCAGGTATATTTCACTTCCTGCGCCCAGGATGCAACAGGTACGCAGCCAGGACGGGTGCACGGCCAGCTCAGCTCAGAAAGAAGTCTGCACCTCCTCCCTGTGTTCATAGGCGGCCTCTGAGTGCGATCTGTCTGCTCCTCACTGATCTGAACCCTGAAGCGAGAGTGTCTCGGGAGGCCAGGCCTCAGACCGAGAGCAGCCTGTGGCCCCTGGGGACAGTATGACCACATGGCTGGCACCGAGCCCTGGTGCAGAGGCAGTGTGTGACTCACTTCTCCTCAGGCCTGTGGGAAAGGCTTCTCCCAGGAGCTGACCTGAGGCTCACTGAGCAAGGCGTGAAGGGCAGAAGGGTGGGGGGCTCCTGTCAAACCCCCAGCCCTCCAATCCCTTTCCACGTCATCAGATACAACCGATTTGGGACTGAAAATCTTGAAAAACAAAAGTGTCCGTACTGAGCATGTAACGACTTGTAGGGCCGGGGATTTAGCTCAGTGGCCTAAGCACCTGCCTGGCAAGTGTGAGGTCGTGAGTTTGATCCCCGGTACCAAAAAACAAAAAAAAGAGTGCAGACTTGTGCCTTATCATTGTTTCTGAAATAATGCAGTGTAACAGCTACTGATGCAGCATTCACATGGAGGTATCATAAGTGACCTTGAGAGACCTTAAAGGACACCAGTGCTGTGTTATTTCATATGACTGAAACACCCATGGATCTTGGAACCGACCCCTGCCGATGTGAGAGAGGACTTCGCTTCCCAGCCTGGCTTGCCGTGGACAGTGAGCCTGCTGGACTCCTTGCCCGTGCAGCACACTGGTCCCCAGGCCTCGGGGCTCCGGTGTCCTTGTCTGTTCCCTAGGAGCCTTCACCTCTCCTTCTGGCTTCTCTCTGCTCCTTCCCGAGGAGTGTGAAATTGGTTCCCATGTGCCTGATGTTCCTTCTCTCTTGCTAGAATCTTCACAAGTCCCCAGCTGCCCCCGCATAGGTGGTCAGGGTCAGAAGTACAAATTAAAATAACCCGTGATCCCATGCTGCAGGCGGGGGACGCTGAGGCATCCCGGAAGCCAGCTGAAGAGGCTGCTCCCCTGTGTCACTGGCAGTGAGAGCACTTCCGAGGCTGTGGGTCTCAGACTTCTTTCTTCCTCGGAGAGCTTTAAACACCATGCCCACGTTATCCCATCATAATAAGACGGAAAGCTATTCTTTTATTGAGCCCTTTAAGTATAATTTCATTTAATCATTAGATGACTTTATGGTGTATGATTAAGTGATCTCACAGCTGCTCGTGATATAACCAGAGTCTCCAGCTCTGGAACCTTGTGTTACCAGCACAGTCGAAAAAGGTGAGCCTGGTCAGAGGGTGCCGTGCAGCCCGCAAGTGTTCCCTGGGCTCCAGAACAAAGCGCTGACCCATTCCAATGCTCACGGTGCCTTCTGGGTGCCGGGCACTAAGCTGGGACCTGTGGAGAATGCAGAAATGTGTGGACTTAGCGTCCATGCTCACCCTCAGTGGCCCCAAGACGCCCTCCCCAGACTCAGCCATTCTTTAGTGTGACCTGGTCAGCACCCCACACAACTCCCCTTTCTCTAAGCTTAACTGCACAAGCGATAGTACCTGCTGCTTTTGCTCTTTTTAATTTACTGAGCAGTCATTCAAATGTGGCAGGCGATGGGGATACATTGGTACACATGCCACCATCATGAAGTCACCTGGACTGTGCACCCTGCCCCCAAAGACTCAGTCCCACAAAGTGGCACTGTGAGAAGACTGGGCCACAGGCAAAAGAACTGAGGTGCCACCATTTGAGCAGCAGGGGGACAGTCACTCAGGCCTTCCAACTAGGAAGTGGGGACAGCAATACCTTGCTGGGTGGGGTGGTGCGTGCCTGTGATCCCAGCACTCCAGCACTCGGGAGGCTGAGGCAAGAGGGTCTGAGGCCAGCCTGGGCTCTACAGCCTGAACTGCATAGAAAGACCCTGTCTCAAAAAAAAAGACACCTAACCTGCCTATCTGACAGAGGACTGGCCCAACTAAATGAAATTAAGAGTATGAAGCCACTTCTTGGGTTATAAAGTCCTACCCCGGTAATGCTACCATGATATTCATCTTCTGTCTCCTAAGCATGGCTGGACACATAGTAAATATTGGTTGATTGAAACTGAACTGATTCATTCACCCCTCCTACCACCTTCTTCGGGCCCTGGAGCCCCCTGTAAATCCTAGCGCAGGGAAGGCCTGTCCACCTGCTGGGTCAAGTGAGAAGGACCCAGAAGCACCCCGGAAGCTGTCCTGAGGCTGCTGCCTTCGGGGCCCACCGGGAAGCTGGCCTAGCAGCTGGGTGCCCTGGATGTGGGGCCACAGGCATTGAGGAACCTGGGTCTAACCCAGGGCCCACTGACTTTGAGAAACAAGCGTTACACGTCCCACAGTTTGAGCTGCCAGCCACTAGGGCCGACAGGGCCAGGGCGGTTCTTGTGACACAGAACGGTCTCCAGAGGGACCCCGCTGCCACGTGCGCACTCATTAGTCCTTCACCTGTCATTGCAGCACCCCTACCCCACGGAGGACGAGAAGAGACAGATTGCAGCCCAGACAAACCTCACACTCCTTCAAGTAAACAACTGGTGAGTTAGCATCACCTGCCCAAGGACTTTCAGATCCAAGGGCCACATGCTTGGCAAAGGAACACCTAGCAGGGGGAAGAGATCGAATGCCCAGACATGCTTCGGTCTCAGCCCAGCTGGCTGCCAGGCCAATTCTGGTTGGGCTAACGGCAAAATCAACACTGGCACCTATGGAGTCATCTGCAGCTTCTTAGCGCCCTCTGCTGGTCAGTTATGTCAGGCACATCCGCGGAAGCTTCTGGCGGAATAAAAATCCCAGCAGGCCTTGAGAGTCCAGCCCCACCTGTCCTGCAGAAATGGGCTGAAACACCCATGCCTGTGCCTGGGGGTGCAGCAAGTGGTCAGCTGGGCTGTCCCACTTTCCCGAAAACTGCAAGGAAAACGTTCTGCTAAGTTAGGAGCAGAGAGAGCTGCGGTCCTCAAGGATCTCTGTTTTCCCCTCCCCCTGTGTCCAGCTGGATGAGAGTAGGCTCCAGAGGCAGGGCCCCAGATCTACAGAGAAGTCAGAAGTTGGTGCCTGTGAATTCCTGCTTCCCCTCCTCTGTTCCATCCTGATTTTGATTGTCTGATCTCTCCACGTGTGTTCTTCCCTTATTACTTGGGGTGACTGAGCCCTAGGGGGGTTCATGAGCTCCTTGGTAGCCAGGCCCTTGTCCCTGCTAAATCGAAATGCTGTCCACTGTGTTCAGTGAAGTCTACAAACACTCACCCCATCACCCAAAGGGTAACTGACCAGGTAACCGCTTTTCCCCCCCAGGTTCATCAATGCCCGGAGGCGCATCCTGCAGCCCATGCTCGATGCCAGCAACCCAGACCCTGCCCCAAAAGCCAAGAAGATCAAGTCCCAGCACCGGCCCACCCAAAGATTCTGGCCCAACTCCATCGCCGCGGGGGTGCTGCAGCAGCAAGGCGGCACCCCAGGGACGAACCCTGATGGTAGGAACTGGGCCGAGGGCACCTGGAGGTGGGGAGCTCCTGGAGAGCAGATTGAGGGTCATCTCCTCACTCAGCACCATGTAGCTGTCCCGTCCAGTTACCCCTCCCTGGTCCCCATCAGACCTCTGTACCCCTCTTGCAAGCCAAGCAGTCTCTGAGAAGAGTGAGAGCTACGGTTGTCTGAGTCGGTGACTGCTCAGCAGAGCCCCCCTTCACGCCCACACCTCCCGCTGCTCAGCACAGGCAGTGCCACACTGCTCCCCAAGGCCGAGGCCATCTATAAATACCAAGCAGGCAGCTGGCTTGTGAACAGAGGCCAGGAAGAGCTTGGTTTTCCCAGCTTCTCCATCACAGCCCCCCCCCCCCACACACACACTCTCTTCTAATTGCCAGCCACCCAGCACACAATGAATAGTTCAGTCAGACGTTTTAGGGCTGGGTGTGCGAAGCTAGCTCAGCTTGAGCAGCAGGAGGAGGTGTGTGAGTGTGCATGCGTGCGTCCGTGGCTCTCTGTGGTTGTGTAAGGTCCCACGTACCAGGGGCAGCATGTTTTAGGCTACAATAGAAATAAACAGACTTGGGGCTAGGGCGGCCCGAGAGAGAATCCCAGCTGGGTAGCCTGGCGTTCCCTTGAGCTAATGTCCTCACTGGTCTGAGAGGCAGCTTCCTCCATCTTTGAGTGACATCTGAATTCTTAAAAAGTCAAAAGTGCTTCTTCACCTGTGAGGTGTGATCTAAAACTATGGTGAATGTTTAAGTTTTTAAAAGTTTCTTACAGCAAAAGACACATGGTTATTAAGCTGCCTTTAAAAACTTCCCCTCCCTTGGAACACACTCCGGCAGTCCTGAGCCATCCCGGAGTCCCCTTTCAGGTCTTTAGTTGCACTGGTGCGTGTACTTCAACATCCTGTATCAGTTCAAAACATTTACCTTTCGTGGTCTTTTTGACTTTGGGGAAGAGCAAGAAGTCATCTGGTGAATAAGGTTGATGGACCCATAGTAACGTTTTTGTTTGACAGAAGTTACCGTAAATGTTTGATCGAGGGGAGGCGATCACAACTCCATCTAATGCTTAAATTTAAAAATTCATTACCGTAAAAGACACCAGGCCATTAATCCCTCTCAGAAGACTTCCTTGTTTCACACGCGCTTACCTCATCCTTCTTGGCAATGTGTCTCTTACTGTAATAAGTTTTTCTTCGTTTAAAGGCTCGCTCGCTCTCTCTGTCACTCCTTGTATGTGTGCAGGAGATGCTACCGGGCGGCCTAAGGTGCTGCTGCTTGGTGTGGGGACAGGAAGTGGCTGAGGAGGGAGTGGTGGGAGACTCCCCAGGGCGAGAATGGCCTACTTTAGAGTTGGGCACTCTTGGACATAAGGAGCTCACCACCCTATGACCGTATGACCCTCTCCGTTTGACCTAGGAGGCCGCTGGGCCTATGACGGCCGCTGCGTGTTTGTGACCCTTGTCCTCTCTCATGCAGGTTCCATCAATTTGGACAACCTGCAGTCCTTGTCCTCAGACAATGCCACCATGGCCATGCAGCAGGCTATGATGGCTGCACACGATGACTCTCTGGATGGGACAGAAGAAGAGGATGAGGATGAGATGGAGGAAGAGGAGGAGGAAGAGGACCTTGAGGAGGAGGCCGATGAGCTGCAAACGACAAATGTCAGTGACCTGGGCTTGGAACACAGTGACTCCCTGGAGTAGTCACAGCCCACTGGCGCTGATCTCCAGGGCAGGAGAGGATTGGCGTCGGGAGGGTTTGGGGCGGGGGAAGGAGGGCACAGCCAGGCAGCGCTGAGGAAGCTGAGCCCTCGCCTCCCCAAATCAGTAGCTCAAGGAAATACAGAGGAGACACCCTGTTCCTCCCCGACCGCCAGGCTTCAACAAGCACCCAGCCTGCTTCCCTAGAACTGGAGCGGACTCCACTGGCAGAGCCATCAAGCAACCTCTGTGGGAAGCAGGACTGAGACTGGGTTTACCCGATCCGAGAGGATGGATGGCACCAGTGGGCACCTCCCCCTGGAAGGACTTGACTGTGTACAAACCCTGAGTTGCAAGGTGAATTGGTGTTGTTTGCAGAGTAGGCTTTTGGTGAGGGAGGACTCGAGAGGGGAGGGTGACAATCCCCTTCCCCCAAGCATCTCTGCTCCTTTAAGAGACACTCAAGGGCAGCAGAGGTCCCCCAAACATGATCAGTGGCTGTTGGAGGGGGAGGGCCCTAAGCAGGTCTTGCAGACTGGAGCAGGACCTGGACTCCACGGGGCTCCAGCTCAGCCCAGGACCCATCCATGGGCACAACAGCTACGGACTTGGAGAGCGTGGAGTAGGGCCTCTTTCTTTCTCCTGGAAATGCATTGTTGGCTATTGGGCTCAATCTGTAAGAGGCTAAAAGAGTTTCCTCATCTGGGTCAGCTCCAGGAGCCAAGGAGATGGCAGCACCTGGACTGGGAGCCATATCAAGGTGACTTTGGGACCATAGCTGTCCCTAGGTGGTCACAGAACTCAGTTCCTATCACAGCAGGACAATGGTGTCATAACCCTAGATGTCCCCCGCCTCAGATGAAGCTGCTTGGGTGTTCCAGGACCTCCGCAGACCCTCGGAGAGTGGTGGCAGAGCGACTTGGAATCTTCCCACCCTGCAGGCCATCTGGCTCCTTCCCTGCGCCCGGCTGGCTGACGCTGTCAGCCTGCAGCCTCTCACTTCGTGGTACCCATCAGAGAAGGCAGGAGAAGCATGGGAAAGAAGCAGCAGCTGGTGGAAGCCAGAGTTTGGAGAAGGCACTGCCTCCTCCTTCTCATCAGCATTCAAAATGGCAGAGAGGGATGGCCCTCGAGAGCCCACAGAGGTGCCCACCCTGCCCACCTCCTGTCCCGCACGCTCGCACTGCACACCGCGCTGGAGGACCCGGAGCTCCTGGGAGGACGAGGCTTTCCATCTGCCCTCAGGCACCTTCTCCCAGCCCAGCTTCCCGGCTCCCATCGTGGGCACCCTCTCCTCCCGCTTCCTCCTGCCCTATGGCTGTGAACGACAAGACTGATGACATGTGTTTCCGACTGGATTTAATTTGACGGACATGCGGTTTCATTTGTAAATTGTGCATTGGCCATCTCCTTCAGTGGCATGATGTGAGTGGCTACCTAGCTCAACTGGAGGGGACCTCAGGGCCCTCTGGGGCTTCCCCTCCTCTACTGGAGGGGGCGGAGCAAAAGGATAGTCGCTTTCCTGAGGTCTCCCTGAAATGAATGTATTTCTCCCCCCAAAAGAGCTGATATTTAATGTTTTAATAGGGATTTTTGACAAACAAATAACCTTATTTATAATCTGGGTGATCCAATCATTTTTTTACTCCCTTTTGATGCCATAGGTAGAGGAAAGTCTAACTTTTTTGGCGTGAGACTTTGCAACGTGCAGTGGGATAAAATACATTTCTTCTTCTGGTTCATTTTTCTTGTTAAAATGTAGACAGACACACACGGACACACACACACCCTATCCCACTCACCACGTCAGCAGCACCCCCACTCCGCACGGGCACCCCTCTTATAGGTGCCCCCATCTCTCCCTCCAGCCCCGCCTACTGTTATACAACCTCCTTCCGATGTATCCACCATCCCGGTACTGAATGTGGCCGAGAAGTTTCAGTAAATCTTATTACCTACCATGACCCTGGTGCGCAACTCTGTGTCTGTGGCAGCTGTACGGGTCCTTTCCTTCTTCAGTGGGATCCTGGGCCGTACAGAATCTGGAGACCTCAGCGTCCACTCCATTAAGGTGTCTCCCCTAGAGAGGGCTTTGGAGGCAGCCCATTTGTCTGGGAAGGAAAATGGGCAAGTTTAACACATTTACCTTGCTTGCGCCTAACTCTAAAACAAAGAGGAAAGCTCCACACTGCCACCTCCTGGCACTCCCCGCTACTGCAGGTGGGAGTTCCCTGGGGCCACCTCCCTCCAAGGCCTGTGGGTTCCCCATCTTCCTCCTAATGCCCCCACCCGGGGTGTTACTCTATCCAAGCTGGTTCCACCACGACACTTCAGCTCAGCATTCATGCGGCCCCTTGGGCCAGGTGAAAGGTCCCGGCAACCCAGTGGAGGTGCGCTCTTGATTCACTTTGACCCCTGGGCTGTGTCTGCCTTGTGCATGAGTGAGAAGGGGAAGCTGCCTTATACTCCTGGGGCCCAGCACTGAGTTCCCTGGAGTTGTTGGGCAGCTCATCTCCCCGAGCCCGTGAGGAGCTTTCTTGTCAGCCTCAGCCTGGAGCTTTCCTTCCCTGGCCATGTTGCTGAGCTGTCCAGAGCATCTGTGGAGCAGGAGGGGAATTCCTGTCCCCAATGGTGAAGGCTGCAGAATGGACACACATCTGTGGGTCCCCTGGAGCCAGGCTGAGGACGGGGAAAGAGGCCGTCACATGAGTGGGCCCAAGCAGCTCCGAGGAGGGGTTCCCCATGTTACTGTTCTCACGGAGCCCAGCCCTACCATCACCCCAAGCAGGGACCTTTTCTCCTCGGAAAGATGGAAAAGTTCAAGCTCCTCAAGGAGACAGTGCGTTAGATGCTTAGCACCCAATCTTTAAAGCAGTGTTTCCAAGGGAACGAAGTTCAGTGGCCCAACTTCCTAGTACTGTAGAGCTAGCTGTACCTTGCTAGTAGAGTTTCATAACGCACCGCAGAATGTTAAAGGCTCTTAGGCAAAAGAAACCTATTGAACTTTGTTTCAGATATTTCCCGGGTTTTGTGTCCCCTGCCTCTGCCTTGTGTGCATGGGGCCCATGAGGCAGTGACCGCTGTCCTGCGCCTGTTCTATCTCACTCCTTGTAAGTCCCACTCTGTCCCAAGCACTGTTACAGACATCAAGGGTACAATTGTGATCAATAGAGCTCTTGCCTTTGGTGTGGGGTTTACATCTTAGAAGACCAGCCTGAAGGTGGCCTGTGATGTCCCCAGTAATGGTTAGACCCGAGATCTCAAATTCAATCACTCCCAGTTACAAATGAGAGATTCTCAGGTGTGACAGACGGGTTAAAATTCTGCTGGTAGATATGTTTTCTCTGGACCATCAGTTGTTAAATTTTTTATGCCATCATTTATTGAAAGATTGCCTGTGAGCGCATGCGTATGAGCACACGTACACGCATGCGCGCGCGTGCACACACACACACACACACACACAGATTCCTGGTCTTGAGAAATCAGGCAACTTGGGGTCTGTAACCCACATGGCCCCATTGTAGTTGAATCGTTGCTTCTGACTCAGGGAAGCTTCCAGGTTGTGACACTGGCCATCCCTGTGGTCCCCCAGCACTGAGGCCAAGGGTCAGCTGCCACTTATGAAGGGGCTCACCCTATTGGTTAGCCAGTTGGTGGTTTTACTTCCCACTCCATCCTTTTCCCTTTTCAGCAGCTAAGTGGTTGTTTTAAAGAACATTAAATCAATGACTTCATGAAGAATGAAAAAGTAGGGCTGGGGATTTAGCTCAGCAGCATAAGCACCTGCCTTGCAAGCGTGCAGTCATGAGTTCGATCCCCCGCACCAAAAAAAGAAAAAGTATACAGGATGTGGTGGTGCACACCCATCATCTCAGCACTCAGACGGCTGAGTACTGTGTGTTCGAGGCCATCTTGGACTACAGAGCAAGAATGAGAGAGAGAGAGAGGGAGAGAGGGAGAGAGAGAGAGAGAGAGAGAGAGAGAGAGAGGAGAGAAGAGGCAGGGGGGAGGAGAGGAGAAAGAGAAGAGAAGAGAAGAGAAGAGAAGAGAAGAGAAGAGAAGAGAAGAGAGCAAAATATAGTAAAAGAGCGCTCTGCTGTGAAAAAAAAGTATTGGACAGAATACATTCATGGAAATGAAGATTCTACCACCTTGCACTGCAATGTGAACCTGTACGTAATGTTCTAGAGACCCTCCCTCCTGTGTTGACTGCCTGGCTGGGCTCTAGAAGCAATCATGAGTCTTGAGGCACCAGGTTTGTTGTTGCTCTGTGTATCTTAGCCCTCCAACCAGTGTTTTCCCCTGGAACAGGCTCACAGATGAGAGCCTTCAGTGCCTCTTGCAGCTCTTTGCTTCACAGCCTCTCCTAATTTCTTTTTCCATGCAAACTACTACTGTATGCTGGCATCAACCTGGGGTCAAAGAGTAATTCACCTTTGCACAGCATCACGGGCCAAGCCATAGGGACCGAGGACCGGCAGACAGAACCTGAACTGCATTTCCACTTCAGCATCCTATTTCCAGCCCACAGATGAAGCCAGGTTTACGATACCACTTCCCAGTGTATCTCACACTTTTCGATTCCTCAGCCTCTCTCTGGGCCAATCTCATTTAGCCTCTTTGCAAATTAATGCATCTCATTAAGTTGAACCCATTTAGGACAATGCCCTTCAGGTGTGTGCATCTTTGTGCATCTTTCATTTTAAGACAAGTGTTTGATTTATTTTTCATCTCATTACGCTCTTTAAAATTATGTGCATCTCATTACACTCAGTGCACTGCGATGACTTATTTCAGGTGTAGATATTACACCCAGTATTATCAGGCAAGAATATGATTTTTTTCATTTCATTACAAGCTTTACAATTTATGTACATCTCATTACAATCAGCCATTTAAGACAATTCCCTTCAGTCGTGTGCATCTCATTATAGCTTTTCATTTTGTTTGGGTTTTGGATGTTTTATTCAGAGGGCTCACGTCAGGTGTATATCTCTCATAGTTGTCTATTATTTCAAGTGAATTTTTGGGTGGTTGTCTGAGTACTGCAAAATTTGTATTCTATCGAATTCATTTAAGGCAGGATCTGTGCCCCTGCAAGCCTCCGGGAGTTCTTTGATCAGAAAGGAAGGGTGCAGGGTTCTGCCCCTTTTGGTTGAGACTCTACCAGTGGCCTCCCCTTACACACGAAGACCATCTAAGCAGCTTTCACTGAGGGGTTTAGGGGACCAAGATGTTGTCTAGGTTTCCTGCTTTCTTTCCCTTCTCTAGGTTCGACCCCTTGGGTTGTAGTCTGAGGAACTCCAGGGCTGTGGAGGTCAGCGTGTTCTGTGGACGCTGCTTAGCTCAGCTGTCCAAGCCCACAAAAGAACGGTGTTGGCCCATTCTGGAAGGAGGAGATGGTCAAGAATCAGATGGTCCCAAAATTTGTACCTGGAAGGTGGACGGAAGATTAAAAAAAAAAAAAAAAAGGAGTCCCATGACCTGTCTCTTGCTTCAACAGTGTTCCAATGGAAACCCTGGGCTGGGGGGACTTCTTTTGTGGATGGCTCCTTACTGCTGATCAGCCATGACCTCTCAGATTCATCAGAAGTACTCCCCAAAGGCGGAGGCTGCAGTCCACCGTCCACTGCTTAGTGAACCTGCACCTGAAGGCCTCCTACACCTGCCTCTCTCTGGGCCTCTACTTTGACAGCGATGATGTGGCTCTGGCAGGCATGGGCCATTTCTTCCGTGAGCTGGCCAAGGAAAAACTCGAGGGTGCCAAACGTCTCCTGAAGACACAAAACCAGCACAGCAGCCATGCTCTCTTCCAAGATGCACAGAAGCCTTGTGAAGATGAGCAGGTAAAACCCTGGGTGCCATGGAAGCTGCCCTGACCCTGCAGAAAAACCTGAACAGAGCTCTTCTGGATCTTCATGCCTTGAGCTCTGCCAAGACAGACCCCATGTCTGTGATTTCCTGGGGAATCACTTCCTAGATGAGGAGGTGAAGCTCAAGAAGATAGGCGATCGCCTCACTAACCTCCACAGACTGGCAGGGCGAGTACCTTTCACAAGGCTCCCCCTTAAAGAGGACTAGGAGGTCCTGGAGACTGGCGTCCTCTGAACGGCTCCTGCATCACCTGGCATCAGGCTTTGGCCCAGCCCTCTCCCTCCAGACACTAGGCAGGTTTTTTTTAAACCTCTTTGGAGCCCCCTCCCAAATCTTGGAACAAAAGAAAATAAAGCCTTTTGCAGGGAAAAAAGAATTGCTGAAAAGTGTTTGGAGTCGCAAGAACCCTAGTTCTATTTTCAACTTACTAATTCAGAGTCTTCTAGCTCCGGGGCCAGGTAGGTTCATTTGTAATAGTGTCCCTGAGATTCTGAGGCCCCATCTTAACAGAGTCTGATTGCACAAGAGGACCTGCAGTGTAGCTGAGCTGAAGATACTCAAGGCTGTCAGTATGGCCCCCCTCCTTGCCTATCTTAGCAATTCAAATATAATGTGAAAAAATCATTTCCTCATCCTGATAGAGCACTGAGGGTCAGTACATCTGACTCAGCCACACAGAGAGGACCCCCAGCGCCAGCACAGCACTGATTGTCCTCTTTACCTCATACTGCCCACTGCCTTCCAGGCCAAGAAAGCCAGATTGCTGCACAGAGGCCACAGTTCCTCCAGCTTCTGCTCCCAACCTGGGATCCGCCTGCTGCAAACAGCACAAGCAGAGAGAGCACTGCGGGCTGTGACGAGGTCTTCGTGGCTCCTGTAACCTGTGCACCCAGCCCTCTAGGCAGCCCTTAAGCCTTCCACGTGCTGCTTGGATTAATCCTCACTTTTGCACCCGTGTCTCAAGGCCTGAGCAGTTCCCTGAGTGATTCTGGGGTGGTCTGTGTGTTTCCCTTCCTCTGCTCTCCCCGTCTCCATGCCTGTGAAAACTGCATTCTCCAAACTCAAAAATAAATTTGACTTCACACCATCTCTCACCCTCTACTTCCAGGAGAGAGCCTGCTGGAGAATCAGGGTAACAGCCAGCCCTGCCTCTGCTTTGTCCCTTTGCACAGGTGCACCAGGGATCCTTGGTTCCAGGATCAGCAGCCCAGATTCCCTGGGCTACCACTGGGCAGGATTTAATGAGGATATAGAGCTGGCTTAATATGTAGTGCAGCTGGAATTGAACCCAAGGCAAAGGCCTTATGAGATAATAAACTCCTCTAAACTTTGGTTCAAGGAAGGATCATCCTTTGGAGTCCAGGGCAGAGATTCCTTTCTCAGCACAAGTCTGAGGTGGGGACACCACCTGCACCTGCCTTGTTTGTTCCCTGTAAGGCTTCTGAGTGAAAAGCACTCAAAGGTGTGAGATGTGGTCTCCTGCTGAGCATCCCTCCTATAGGGAAAGGACAGGACTGAGGACCTCTGAACTTAAGGAATTGCTCTGTGCACTTTCCAAGGAGCTCAGCTCCAAGAGCATCAGAAAGCTGAGCTTCAGAGGAGCAAATGCAACCTGAGATAAAGGTCTGGGCCACGAAAGTGCAGCTGGCAGTGGTGCAGTGGAATAGAAACTGAGCCGGCTCAACAAGCATGAGGAGAACCTGAAGACGAAGAAGCAGCAGCGGAAGGAGCGGCTGTATCCTCTGCGCAAGTTTGCTGTCAAGGCCTGAGCAGCACGGTGACAATAAAACTCAAAACTCTGCCTCGGTAAAAAAAAAAAAAAAAAGAAACTGAGCCTGTCAGGCAGCACCCAGTGCAACGCTATCAGTGAGAACGGCGGACCCCGGCCTTCTCTTTCTGGCCTGTGTATGTAGGGGACTCCTTTTCATTCACTCCAAGAGCAGGGCCTGGTTCTTAGGTTTTTAGACTTAACTGCTGAGAGTAAAGGCAAAAGGTAAAGGCGGAGGCAGGACAAAGGGTAGGGGCCCATCCCTGGAGATGGCACAGAATGGATGCCCGAAAGGGGGCAGCCAATGCAGAGCAGAGGACAGGCCCAAGGTCACAGGGCATTCTCAGACCCAGCAACTCTGGTAGGAAAGGAGCAAAACAATTCTATTCAAAGGGGATGGGGAGAAAGGATGAAGTGGAAATCCAGCGGACTCGAATGCAAACACCTGGTCCTCTGTTCACTCTCTTCTTTGGTTCTGTAATTCATTTGCTTTTTCTCCAGCAGGAAAGAGTGGGAGAGAGAGTGCAGGGCAGTACACAGGGTGAAGGAAAGAGACACTACACGTGCCTGTGTCCCTGGGGTTTTTTTCTTACAACGCTATTATCAAAATGCCAACCAGGTCCTGGCCAATCTGCATATTCCACGCTGTGCTCTTTGAAGCAAAGATGAATATGCATGAGGGCTTGGGCGGCGCTTGGGGCTGCTGGGCTGTGGGCTGAGTTGGCTCATTGTTCTTTGAGAAGAAAGGCATTTGGAGGCCAACACGTCTTCCAGGTCAGCAGGCTTACCTTCCCCTCTCTCCTGAAAGGAGAGAAGACCCCAGGTCCAGACAGAAACCCGAATGACTATTTTGTTACCCTCTTAAGGAAATAAATAAGCAGGCACTAGCAAGAACCAGAATGTCTCTTCTCTAAGAATAGCATGGAATTACTGCCCTCTCAACGCACACTAATCACAAGGCTGGAGTGGCGGTAAAACGGACCTCTCCCGGCTTCTGGGAGGCTGATGCTGCCTGTCCCTATCTCCTGCCTCTGCCACATGGAAAGCAAAACGCTCTGTGCTTTTGACCTGTGGTGACCTCTGTGACGTAGCTGTGGTAGGAGCCTAGGGCCTAGTGGATGCTCAGAAATGCTCCTGGAATGGACTCAGCCAAGTCCATGAGGATCTGGGTTACAACTCAATTCATCCTGAAACAGCTGGGTAGGAGCTGCGGATGTGACTCAGTGGTAAACCACACACAAAGCACGTGCAAGCACATGCAGTCCTCAGCACCACCTCGACAAAACCAGGAGGGGCAGTGCCCGCTTATGGAGCGTCTCCATGTCTTCTCTGACTACATGATGATCATTATACTTCAGCCAGTGAGTCTGGAAAGGGGTTATTAAATTTTAAGAATCGTATTTGTCCCGTAAACTGCAGAGCCACAAAGCCTTCCTTTGGGATTTCCTTTCCAAAAGACACATCTGCTTTGCCATCCTGCAATAGACAGGAATGGATATTTCACTGGGAAAATGGTCTGTGCCTGTGAGCATTTGTTTCAGCTCTACATTAATAAAGGCTGGCTTGTGGCTGCATAGTGGAGTTTTCTTGCCAGAGCCTGATGAAGCTAGGTTGAACGAACACTTTAATTAACAGGAAACTTAGTTAACGATCCTGCCAGCCAAGCTGACCTCTAACCTAGCTAAAGGATGCTTTGTGGACATGAGCTCTCCAAGTCCCCTGCCTGCAATTCTGTGCTAACCAGCTCCTAGGTGTGGACCACGCTGCTGGGTACCACACTTTGAATAGTGAGGATGGTGGGAAGGGCAATGTAGAACCCCAGGAATGGATTCATATCCCTTCCAAACTCCTGATGTGGACCCATTCCTCCCTTTCTCATTCAGCTGCCCCTGGACTGAGTGTGTACCTAACACTTGAGATTTATTTTTAACTGCCAGCAGTTTTGATTAGCTTGTCTCCACGGCCTCAGACACCCGCCGGCAGGGTAAATTGGGGGAAACAAGCAGCTGACCCAGATCTCACAAATCCAAGGCAAGAAGCAAAATTCTGGGGATTCACTGCATCTTCTCTGCTGAGACGAGTGAAAAACCCCACGGATGGCACAACATTAAATCTGCCAGTGACCCCGCTCACCAGTCACCCTTGCATCTTTAGCTCAGTGCCCAGAAGGTACAGAATTGAACTCGTCCCTTTTCATCAAGGGACTAATATTTATGCCAATGTGCTGACCCTGAGGATTTTCATGGGTATCTTATGGTCATTTAAGTATGATTTACCACATACCTGGGAGACCTAAATGCTCCGTTAAAGAACTAGGCTCCTACACGCCTAGGAATGGGTCAAAGTCTTGGATAAGAGACCTAAGTGCCAGTCAGTCTCTACTGCCACCCGTGCTGCCTTGGGAAGCTGCCGAGGATTCCTGCTGCTCTCCTCTGGAAAACCTCGATAATACTGAAGCAGGTGTCTGTGATATAAGACAGCGAGCGTGTACAGTGGTAGGCAGTAACTCTTGGTAACTGGTAGGGTTAAGATCATTCAAGCTAGAAGACACGGCTGGGCGAATTCAGGCTGCGGTGAGGCTGAACCAGCATCCGAAATACAGGGACAGCTTTTGCTCCTGGTTGGTCAGGGCTCACAGCTGCTTGCTGTCCATGTCAGGGATGACATGTAGGAGCAAAGACTGCAGGGGGGACGTGCGAAGTCACAGGTGCTGTTCCCAGAGGTCCCCGAGGCAGACAGAAGCACTGATGTCTCTCAGCACAGGAACAAAGCCATGACGCCCCCTGTTGGGAAAGCTGGGCAGAGCTGACTCCCCCTAGCCATTGAACTCCAAGGCCTCCAGGAGCCAACCTGGCCACCCTGACCAAAGGCACTGCAGCTGTATGGCTCCTCCTTGGGGCTCACTTTCCATCTGTACGCCCTGTCCCCTAACCCCTTCAGGGCACTTGTTTCTGAAACACACAGTGCAGAGTCTGTAGGCCAAGCTCCTTCTTCCGTCTGGACTTATGCAGCTCCACCTCATGTCACGATGCCACCGCAGCCCACAGCAGGGCACAGTCCCTGACACGAGCACTGTGCTACCTGCCAGAACCACAAAACCACCTGGGAAGGCAGCCATGCAGCCTCCTTGAGGGGGTCCGGGATAGAGGAACAGTGGACACCACACACCAAAACGCATGAAGAATATTAATTAAATGAAGGTTTATTTCAAAATTAGTCAGAAGAGTATAAGCTTTTGAGGGCTGGAGCCAGACTACATAATGAGAGGTGAGAACAGCGCCTTCCCTGACACAGGTGGAGAGGAGGCTGTCGCCCACCCTGCGCCCCCATCATGCACCCAATGATTACTAGCACTAGAAGCCAACAGCAGAGGATCCCGCGCGATTGCTCATGTTTAATCCCGGTTAGGCTATACACGTTTAAATACACGTCGGAGGTTACGTGGTGTCATGCAGTCCCTGTGGTGGAGTGACTCCTGCTCAGTGACCTCCCGAAGCCAGGCTGCTCCAAAGGCAAGTTTAGGTGGGACAGAGCACTGCAACGAGAAGAGGGGGACAGGGGGGAGGGTCAGGCACTGCGGTGTCACAGCGGCTCCTAGCAGAAAATGGTCCCTGAGAACGAGGTGTGGCTATAGTTGGGTGTCTTCCAAGGGTGGCAGCAGGCGGATGTTTGGTGTCAAGATTAAGCATGTGGTCTCCAGGGCCCATCCGCCCTGGTCAAATCCTGACCTGCCATTGCTAATTCTATGACCCTAGAGAAATGAGTCGATCTCTTCACTCCTGTATCCTCAGCTCCACAGCACAGTGCCCCTGGGCACCCCACAGGGTTGCTGAGAAGCACACAGGGGCACCTGGTAAATATTAACTACTTTTATAAAGTCATTGACATTGCAGAGAATCATGAGCGTTAAGTCTGGCCCTCCACTAGCAAACTCTGGTAACCTATTTCTAACCACCTCCTTTAAGAACACTGCCACTCCTTGCCAGTCTTTAAGAGTCACAAGTTCCTGACCGGGGATGTAGCTCAGTAGCAGCTCGTCTCCCGCGCATGCGCCCTGGGATTGGTCTGCAGCATGGCAGAAGATGGAGGAGATGGAGGGGGAGGAGGAGAAGCCAAGCCACAAGTTCTTCCTGTTTCGACTAAATTCTTCCTGCTCAAATTTAAGATTCCTCTTTCTGCTGTTTCCAGAAAGGGTACAGCTCAGGGTTTACTCCACAAGCTTTCTGAAACTAGTTTTGTGAACAAGTAGAGTAAAAGCTAATCAAATAATGGATCCAGATAATGAATGATCATCAATGGCTACAAACACACACACACACACACACACACACACACACACACACACACACACACAAGCAGACAAGGTTTCCTATGGAAATCTACAACCCTGAAAATGTAGTGCCTATCTAAAGATCTGAGGCTGAATCTGTTCGAATCTCATTCTATCTGTCCTTGGAGATGAAAGAGCATATTAAATGGTACCTTGGGGCTGCAATCAGGAAAGATTCAGGATGAAGAAATTCTATAGGACAAATAACCTAGTTTCTCCAACAAAAAAATCTGACAGAATGTGGAAGAGAAGAAAATGGAAGCTGTACTAGGAGAGACCCCAGGAGATATGCTATCAGTTTATAACATGGGCTTTCGTTAGATCTCAATTCAAACAAGTCCTGAAAAATATTTTATGGGAAAATTAGGGAAATCTGAACACTGATCGACTGATTCATGATAGTTAGGGGCTGGGGGTTTAGCTCAGCGGCATAAGTGCCTGCCTTGAAAGCAGGCAGTCGTGAGTTCGATCCTCGGTACCGATAACAAGGAAAAAGACAAAAAAAAAAAAAAAAAAACCAAAAACCTCTTAGTTTTAGCCAGGGATGGTAGCACACACCTATCATCCCAGCACTCTGAGAGGCTGAGGCAGAAGAATGTCAAGTTCTAGCCCAGCCTGGGCAACTTAGCCTCTTAGTGACACCCTGTCTCAAAATCCAAAATAAAAAGAACTGGGGGACAGACATGGTGGCACATAACAATAAGCCCAGCACTTTGGGAGGCTGAGGCAAGGGGATTGCAAATTAGAGCCTAGACTGGGAAATTCAGCAAATTAGTATGACTCTGTCTCAAAACAAAAAATGAACTGGGTGGAGGATGAACTTCAGGGTGAAGTTCAATTTTCAAAACCACAAAAACGAAGAAAAAAAAAAGAAGCTTACTTTTTTTTTTTTGAAGTTGAGATAATGGTATTACTGCTATCTTTTTCTAGAGAATTCTTACGCTTTAGAAATGCATACTGAAATATTTATGGCTAACAAACATGATAGAGATTTGCTTCACAATAACATAGGGGAACCCGGTGTGGTGGGGTGCACCTGTAATCCCAGTACTCAGGAAGCTGAGGCAGGATGATCACTGCAAGTTCAAGGCCAGCCTGTAAGGTGAGCTCAAGACTGGCCTGAACTGCATAGTGAGACCCTACCTCAAAAGAACAAAGACAAAAAAAAAAAAACTAAATTAAATTAAAAAACAAATAATGGAGAAGTTGGGTAGGAATGCAATGAAATAAGACGTCATAATTAAGGATGGTGGCACTGATTCGTGAGTCATAATAAAAGGTTTTTAAAAAGTTATGAAAGGACAAATCTAACCATGAATCCATTTTCAAGTGCATTTCTTTTTCAGGCTTGATTTTCTCAGCTAATTATTACATAGCCCCAAGTCCACAGGACCTTCACAGGGCGCCCTTTGTTGGTCTCCTGCCCCACAGCCGGAGTCACATGGGTGACTCAGGGTGAGAGAACATTCTCGGGCCTGTTGGCAACACTCACTCATTCCCGCGAGGCCCCGCTGACATCCACTCGCTGTCCCCACCCCGTACTGGAGCTGCAGCCCCTAGCTCCACACTACACCAGGAAGCTCACGGCTATGCTCACCTTTTAAAATGTAGTCCGTTAGCAAAGTAGGCACCTTCTCATTATCCTCCTTCATGGCGAAGAGAACTGGGGAGGGAGACAAGACGATGAGCCAAGGCTCCATCAGGGCATTGCTGGGTCCAGGGCCAAGCAACCTCCCAGCCCAGAAGGGAGCAGCTATTGGGGTAATCGAATATTCACCCAGTACAGGGAGCTCAGAAGCCTCTCCCAGGGTCCACCTGCCGGGGTGAGGGAGGGACAGTGTCCCCAGGTAAGGTGATTTCTTTTCTTCTGAGTTTTCCATTGACTGTCTGATTTTTGGTTCCTCTATAATTTACATGCCACCTACTAAGTATGCATCTTTCATAATCACAGACATGGATAGAGTAATTGTTCTAAAGAAATTAGCTTTCAGATAGCATCCACAGACTAACAGCCATCGCATCACTGAAGTTACCATTAAAATTGCCCTTAAAGGCATCCTACTCATAAACAGCACCTCGAGAAGAATTCTTGCCTTTAATTTCTTGACAATGAATGAAGTTAATTCAACAAATATTTACTCCCTATGCTATGCCCATCACAGTGCTAGACATCATGGCGCTGCAGAACAATCGTGTGCTCCCAGGCTTCTTCTCCTGACACCACATGAGCTACACATGAATTGAGTAACAGGGAGGCTTTTAAAGCCCAAAGGCTTTTTTTTTTTTTTTTTTTCAGAAGCCATTCATAAAATTTTAAAAACAGCTTTTTCCTAGGCTGGGGATATAGCTCAGTGGTAGAGCACTTGCCTAATATAGCCCTAGATTCCCTGCCTAGCACTGAAGGAAAAATAAAAAATAAAGATCTTTCTGTTATTAAACTAAGTAACCTCTTGTAATTCCTACTGTGGAAGTCAGCTTTGCAGCGAATCCTGTAAGAATGTATCTGGACTGTATTTATAACACAAAATGAGTACTCAGCAAAAGATTCCTGTCAATAAACTTCCTCAAACTGCAGTGTATCTATCTATTCAGTGTAGTCTTACATGGCCTTAAAAAATGAGGGCTGTAGGTATAAGATGTATTCTCAGCAAGAAAAGAAGGTTGCAGAACGCACATTAAATTTATAATGCTGGGGCTGGGGATTTAGCTCAGCGGCATAAGTGCCTGCCTTGCAAGCAGGCAGTCGTGAGTTCGATCCCTGGTACCGATAAAAAGGAAAAAGACAAAAAAAAATTTATAATGCTAACATTTCTAGGAAAAGTCCAGAAGAATGGTCCCTAAGACCTACACAGATGTCCCTGACTCAGACCACAGGAAACAGTCTCTCCAGGATGTCTCTGTATACTGTCGGACACTTCTGCACAGAAATGCTTTGCTGTTACAAGCGAAAGCAATAAAGATCAGCGGGCATGGGCAGCTAGGTAAGGGGGCAGCAGTGTGACAGTGGGACCTAATCCATGTCCATGCCTTTGCCCTCCAGGGTTCACCTTGCCTCATTTCAAACAAGCATCGAAAATCAGAGTGGGCGAGGAACAGCCCAGTAATGCTGTGAGGCAGTGGCCAGCTCCAGAGAAAGCAAAACTGGACCGCGGCACGCCCATGTGGGTTTTTCCGTTTCATTTCTAATCTGTTTTGTTTTGTTTTGTTTTGTTTTGTTTTGGTACTGGGAATTGAACTTAGGACCTTGTGCTTGCCAAACAGGTGCTTATGCTGCTGAGCTATGTCCTCGGCTTCTTACCAGCTTTTAGACATGTATTCATTTCAATTTAAGTGGGTGCCAGGGGTCCTGATGTTTTTGAGGTGTTTTTGGTTTTGTTTTTCTGTATTTTAAACACACAATTACGTCCACTTTCATGACTTCAAGACTAAGCCTGGCAGACTAACTGCCACATCAAAAGGTTTGCAGTAAAAATGCAATAACCACACTCATTCGGTATGTATCCAAGTTGATCTCCAGACTCCAAAACAAATTTATTTTTTTTCTTCCAAAATAAACTTATTGGTGTATTTATAGACAGGGTCTCACTGTGTGGTTCAAGCTAGCCTTAAACTCACATCGATCATCCTGCCTCAGCCTCCTGAGGGCTGGCATCACAAATGTGTGCCACCACAACAGACACCAAAATTTAGACTCCAGTCAGAGAAGCTGGTGTTGGCCTGTGTTCCTGGTTCAAAGAGAGAGGACACTACTCACAAATTCATATGAGGATTTGCTAGAAATGAGTGATTTACAACCTATAAAAGAACTAGTCTGCAGAGAGTGTGGCAGTTTTTCCTTTAAAAGGAAGAAAATATTGGAGTGTAGTATATCCCCATGATACAAAAGTATGCGTAGAAAGAATATAAACAAAACATTAACAATTCAGTGACATGACTAAACTCACAGCACAAAACTATATGGCCAGTGTAATCACAACTATCTGGAAAACACTACAGTGCTTAATATGACAGAGAACAGGGATTATTTATTTGTCTCTGTTCACTTTTCTATAGGTCACACAGTATTCTAACGCTGGGTTCACTCTAGCTGTAATTTTTACAGTGAATTTGAAAAATGTAAACAAGCCCACTCCGAGTGGAAACGCGTCTGTTTTTTAATTGCAATGGAAAGAAAATCTCACACTGAACTTCTGGATGGGAGTTCTTAATAAATTAATAGTTTTTCCTTCTCTTAAAACCAGGATCAAGGACTTCACATATTTCAACTTTTATAATTTGTCCAAATTATTTTCCAAATGTTTACCACCATGAAAACATAAACATCTTATAAATGCATTTCCTATTTATTTATTTATTAGCACTAGGAATTAAATCCAGGATTCAGTGCTAAGCAAGTACTTTACTGCTGAGCTATACCTGCAGTCCTACAAATGCATTTCCATCTACTCCTTTAAAAAAGTCTCGATGCACATGTATGCAAAGAGAGAAGTTTAAAATGAGTCAAGAACAAGTCTGTGTACTTCCATTTTTAAATTCCTGATTCTCCAGTCTCCAGCGGGATTTCCATTTGCTACCATCTCCCGCTTTCATTCTTCAAACTGATAGAAATGAAAACATTTGGTCACCTTCGGCACCAGGGTGCAGTGGGCATCTATCTTCCCTGGCTGAACAGTGGCCCCTCTGCCTTCTCCTGGGGTGTCGATGGCCCTGCACGGCCCACTCCCGCCAGGGCAGCCTGAGCAGGCTGTGCAGCCTCCCAGCCAGCATCGCCCTGCACGCCCGGTTGCCAGGGAAATGGAATTTCTCTCTGATCCACCGTGTCTCAGCCTGGGATTTTTCTCCTCCTCACAGAGCCAGGCTGACATTGATGACTGAACCACCCACCCCAGCCCTTTGGGAGTTGTACTGTTTGATGTATGTAAAGAGATTCTGCCTACAAAGGGCTCTTTATTACAGTCCTCTCCCATAGCTCCGAATGTTTATTAATATAGGACAATGGCGCCAAAGCAGGGGAGGGAGCCACTCACTTCCTGGCAGGCAAACTAGAGGCTCTTCTTTCCAGTCAGCCTCACTCCACCCAAGAAACCTTGCTTGTCATTAAAAACACAGCCAGACCTACAAGAGCAAGCTCCCCACCGCAGAAGGCACAAGGGTGGACCCAGCAACCCCAGTTCCAGAGACAACAGGTGTGGCAGAAAATACTAAGCCCTGAGAGCCACTGCGGAAACAAAACAACCATGTCCTGCCTCCCACCCCTACCCAAACCCCTGTCACCGGTTCTTCCCCCACCCCCACCCCAGCAGATTTCTTCCCTTGCAGAAAAGACAGCTCTGGGTATCTCTGCAGAGGGTTTTAATTTTACCCCATGCAGGGGGATGGGATAAGTAGTGCTGGACCTGTTTAGACCTCTTAAAGCTGCCCTGTTGAGGCACCTCACCCATGCAGGGACGAGGACAGAGAGCAGAGAACTCACTGTTCGTCAGCATCTGCAGGTCTTCCACAGAGGGAGGAGAGGATTTCTTCTCGTAAGGGATGACTGTGTTCAGGTACTGTAAGACACACAGGGTATACAGCCTGAGATGTCACCAGAACTGGTCTCACGGGGTTTAAGGTAGGGCGGAGGATCTGGATGGAGACCCTGCTTCCCTCTAAGACACGCACCACGTCAGACTGATGTTCTCAACAATCGTTCACTGTGCCATCATTATTTCAGAACTATTTCCCCCACCTTAGGGGCTGTCTCTTTAAAAATAAGGCTTTGCTCCTGCTTAGCCAAGAAAAGCTTCCCTCCATCCCAACTTCTACCTTCTTCCAACAGGAGAAACTTTTTGTGATCTAGGAATCCTGAGGGCCTTCGGTTTTCCTTCAGGCTGGGAGCAAAGAACATCCCCAGAGGGCTTGTTTTTGTTTTTGGGTCCTTTGCGGTGCAATTGGAGAAGGAATTATTTCTCCTTTGTCAAAAATGACAGAAGAAATGCCAACCCCGCCCAGGGCCTTGGATGTTGGATTTGCTCCCCCTGCTGGATGTGAGGTGCTTCTCCAACAAACCCAGCGTCTGGGTGTTCAGTGCCTGGCGAGAAAAATTCTAAAACAGCCTAAGACAGAGGCTTTAAAGTGTGCTCGTGACTCTGCCATTACAGCAAGGCCTCATCGCTCTGGGTCTCATTCTCACTGCTGTGAAAGGACAGAGCAGGTTCAATGTTCCTAAGGTCTCTGCCCATGCTGCAGCTGCAGAATTCTAACGCTCAGAATCCTGCTATAAACATGTTTGAAAGATACCCATGTTTCATGAGCAACCTGTCAAGCTGGTCTGTCCCTTCCTCTCTCCCCTTTTGGCTTCACCAGAAGCCAAACCAGTGAGGCACCCATCTGTGGAATTGATTCTCAAAAACTGTAAGCCAAATAAACCTTTTCTCTTTATAAAGATGGTTGCCTCCAGTATTTTGTTGTAGTAACACAAAGCTAACTAACAACAGGCAAGTCATTCCTAAATGGAGTCAATGAGGAGCTGCCACAGAGTGGGTCACAATCAGAGCCAGCCCAAAGAGATGGTTTTGATGGTAGCATTGTATCACCTGGTGATCCAATATGATGGAGGTGATTAAAGTCTAAAATGGAATCGGCTCTCAAACAGGTTCTCTTTTGATGCACTTTGTCCTTGAAACAACTTAATGCATAATTCTGCAAATAGGGTTGGATTTTACGTTTTGTGCAGATTTTCACTGAGTGGCCAGAACCCAGGTGAAGAACAGGAGTGGGGAGTCAGTTTGTACCTGCTTGTCGGTTCCTGAGGAGCCAAAGGTCTGGCGGATGCCACTCTGCAGGATGTTGGAGATGCCTTCCATGCTGAAACGCTGGCAAGAGAGATGCAAGAAGAGCCGATGCTTCCTGCCCCCTGGTCACCTCCCCAGGGACCCCTGTGTCCTCACCCCAGTGCCCAAGCCCATTGGCTACCACACTATCATAGTAACTAGAGTCAGCATTAGGACTTGGCTGACAAAGACAGGGCAGAGTTTAAGCTGAACTTGCAAGAATAAACAGTAGTAGTCTTGAGGAGTTTGTCTCAAAACTAGCTCAGCTGGTCCCTCATGCAAAGAGTTCTCTGTATTCTCCCAGTTCACCTCATTTCATTGTTTACTGCATAAAAAAAAAATCAGAGTTCGGTAAAACTTAGAGGAATAATAATGCAATGACTCAGACTCAGGGAAAATAAAATGTTTAGTTATCAGAGAGGGCAAGTTTAAAGCAACTGTCCTAGTCTGGGGAGCTTTGTTTCAAAATGCATGAGTCCAAGCCTAATTCAATTGGTCTGAGATGGAGCTGGGCAAAGGCATTTTGAAAATGTTCCTTAGATGATGCTAGGATGCTTTCCCCATTTAGAACCACTTGTTTGGAGAATAGTATCTATAGACTGTTATAATTTGTGTCTGGATGTCCCCCCAAAGCGGGGGTGGGCATTTTGAATCTAGAGTTTGCAATTGGTTGTCTAGTGCTAGAACTGGGGGGTGTGAGTGCTATACCCATCAGAGCCAGGTAGCCTGCATATACTATAAGGGAGGAAAAAAGGCTTGCTCCCCATTTTTTTGTTCTTGTTTGTTTTGCTGTCTGCCTTGCCACCCTGCTTTGCAGCCAGCTGATTCTGAACTGAGACTTCCACAAACTGTGAGCTCAATAAACCTTTTCTCCCTTAATTTTGGGTGTCAAGTATTTTGTCTCAGCAATGAGGAAAAAGTAACTAAGACACAGACCAATAAGGCACCTGGTCACTTCCAACCCGAGTACTCTATCACCACCGACACACACCTTAACCAGACCAGGTTGGAGCACACCCAGGCCAGGGGCAGAGACCCTGACTGGAGCCCTGGTGCCCAGTGTCTTTGCCCCATGGTGTAGCCTAAGAACTCAGGCCATACTTTAATGTTTATATCCTGTGTCTACCAGTTAGACAGGGACCCTGTGGGCAACTCCTCTGACCACATCTATCATGGGGTCCCTTATAATTTCTCCATAAATGCTTATGTATCCACCACAGGCCAGGTACCAGGACTTGTGTGGCTAGGATTCAAGGCTGAGTGCACCTGGTTCTCCAGCTGCAGCGCTCACGTACCTTGAGAGGCATCTGGTTTCCCTTCTCTATCCGGTTACTCTGCAGGCTCAGCCCTTTCTCTCTCCGCCTCTTCTTCATCAGCTCCCGCTGCTCCTTCTGCTTGTTCTGAACCTCAATAAGCACCGTGATGAAGGAGTTCTTCACTTCCTTCTCAAACTCTAGCTCATCCCGACGGGCCAGCTGGTGCACCAGCTCCTCCGAGAAGTCCCGGATGGCACCTTCCACCTGGTCCAGGAGCTCGGTCAGTTCAGACCCTGACATGTGCCGCAGCCCTGCAGGGGAAGACCACCTGCACTGACACCCACAGCCAGGCCTGAGCCCTCTGAGGATGGGACCCTCTCTGATTCCTTAGCGGTCCCCAAAAGACCTTCAAATTTGGGGGTCAGGCCAGTAAGAGAAAGGCCCTGAAATCATGTACAGAACAGAACACCCCAGTCTGAAAAAAGAAAAGAAAAAAGGACAAGAAACAGCCCCCCAAGGAAGACTGTAGATTCTGTGCACACAAATGTAGGTGGACAGATGCCTGGCTTTTTGATCCTTTGCTCTGTTTGCCTGTGTCTGTAATATTCTTCACATAGGACTGGGTCAGGAATGGGAGGGGCACAAGAGACAGACTTTGGCATCTGAGCAGAAGAGCAATAAAAAGTTGATATTGATATTTATTCCCAAGAACTGATCACGGTATAGTCCACAGGAACATAAGCAGGAGGTTGGAAGATGCATGTCCTGGGCTGCAATGAACACATCTGGAACTGAGGGAGTCCTGTGGGAGACTGGGAATGTGCAGGGAAAACCGAGGCCCAGCCACCACCTCCAGACACAAGTGGGAAAGACGAACCCAGAACACAGACAGATTTCCTTTCACTTCCTGCCCTCGAAGCAGCTTCGTTTAAGATAGATTTAGGTGGCTGATAACTGTGAGTCAGCTATTTCAGAATAGCTCATACATGGGGTCTCAACTGTTCACAGCACAGGAAACTGGCGAACGGCTGAGGTGGCAGACACCCTGGTCACCCGATCACTGCACCGCAGACAGGTGCTGAGATGTCACTCTGTCCCCACAGACAATCACCGCACGTTCATTACGAATGGAACCAGACATAAAACAGATCTGGAAAGCTCCTGACCCAGGCATCTTCCCTTTCATCTAAGAATCCGCCTCCCTTTTCCCTTTCTTCCCGCTGCTCGGCTGGGTATTTGCTGACTTGGCCATTTCTCCTCCTCTATTTCGCCCTCTGGAGCTGGTCTCCGCCTTCCGCTTTTTGCCATTTCACGCTGCGTCTCAGCTGTTTTCCTGACTCCTTTGCGGAACACTTCTGTTTGGGGCCTTTGTGCGGCTGAGAATGGCCCATTGGGGCGGCTGTGAATGCAGCAGGGCAGCCAAACCCATTCATCACCCCCACGGCTCCCCCACCCCACTACCCAGGCAGCGGCTGCCACCCTGTCTCTGCTCCTCCAAGCTGCAGGACTGCACTTTCTGCACACACACACGCACACTGTGCTTCAGACCCACTCCTCGATGTTTGTCACTTGTCCCTGAGCAACCCACCTGCTGTCCCTGTGGTTTACAAACCAAACCCACCCCGCCCCCATGGGGACCTTCCACCAAGAACAGGGCCCTTCCTGCACCTTGGGCACTGTCACCCCTATAGACTGATGGGTTTCACTTTTGCCTTGTGTGTGTTAAATTTTTTCATGTGTGTTACACTTTTTCGTTTCACGCTTCATCCAGCCCTTTTTTTCCACCGTCATTAGCATTCACCTGTGACACAGGGATTAGGAGACTGGAGGCTGGAGTGAACTTAGCTGTAAGTGCTCGCTGCACCACTGAGACTCACCGGACGTTTGAGGGTTAGGCCCGTCTCCGATGAGACTCTGAGCCGTCCTCATGGGGAATAAGGAAAGAGGGCTGAGGGTACAGCTTAGGGCTACAGCATGTGCTCAGCGTGTGTGAGGTCTTGGGGCCAAGCCTCAGCGCTACACAAAACAATCAACGCGCGAAGAGATTATTCTTTTCTCTGACTTTCTTTTGCTTTCAAAATTTCTTTGTCCTTTTCGAAAGTATGTTCAATCTGTTACTGGCGATGTGAACCTCCTATCATCCCCACAATTCGGAAAGGCTTCCTCAGGGCCTGGGAGTCACTGCTTTGAAGGGCAATCAAGAAAGAGAAAGCTTAATCTCCCACTGCGCTGGAGGCAGAGAGGTCTAACACATCTTCTGACTCCACGCTGCAAAAGCCACTTAGCGTAATGGGCTCTGTCCACTTAGCAAAAGAGCAGAGCAAGACTGCTCTCTGTCTTTGCCATCCTTTAGTGGGCTGTGATGTGCACCCTACTCTGGTTTCATGCTTACTCAACAGTAAAAATGTTTTCTTCCTCTTCTGACTTTGTGGAGAGGTTTTTCTGGATAGTGAAGACATTTAGTATTAATTCTATTTCCCCAAAAGAGGCCTGGACAAGCATTTTGTCTATGAAACACCAGAGACCAGTCCTACCCGGGTGGTGTGAGGTCAGAGTGAGATTCTGCATAAAAAGCCACAAGCATGTCTGGCACCTGGAAAGCACTCAGCAACGCTAAGGTGGCATTACTGACTTTTGTACATTTTCATTGATTTTATGGATGCATCATGCATTGCGTTTTGACCTTGGTTTCAAGTTCTTCCATACCCTTCTTAGTCTCGCTCTTTGCATGCATTGTGCTTAACTTCCTTTTTATTTATAAAACAGATCACTTCATGGACTGGTGATACAGTGTAGCAGCACAGCCCTCCCTGGCTAGCACAAGGTCCTGAGTCTATTCCCAGTTCCGTAAATAACTCACACTCACTTCCCTCCTGATGTGGAGGAGGAGGGAAGGTGTCATCCAGCCTCTGCATGTGTAAGCCTCTGCTCTGGGGCTGAGCCTGGGCTCTGCCACATGTGTCACCGTGCAGGCACAACATTCTCAGACACCCTACCCCAGGCCTCACCTTCGTAGGACCAGTTGTTGTTGAAAGTCTGCGTCAAGGCTTGCATCTCCTGCAGCAGGACCGAGTCTGCCTGGGATGAGGTTTCTCCTCCATCCTCTTCCTCCAGAGCCTCCTCTTCATCCTCAGGATCTGGGGAGTTCTGCATCATCTCCTCAATCTCCTCGATTACCTGAGGAGGGAACACAACAGAACATGAACTCTGGAGGACCACTTGGGCTCGGATTCTGATCAGTTAAGGGTGTGTCTAATCTCTAGTCGATAGAATTCTTGAAGCAGTGTCATTTCTTAATAAATAATAATAATAATAATAGACCCAGGCAAAGGCTCACCCACACTCTGCCTTTAATAGAAAGCACTCTTTCATGCACAATTTCTTCCAAGAGCTCCATTTAGACGAATGCTTTATTGGAAATAAACTACTCTGTCAGAGACAAACCGGAGCTGCCTGGAAAGGAACACTGACTTCAATTTGCTGAGTGCTTTATTTCTAAGTAGGAAAATATTTTATCCGCCCAACTTTAACACAAAACCCAGTTCATTAACTGTCACAATACGTGTGACTGGGGAGAAAAAGAGTGTTCCCAGAACAACTCACAGTGGGGAGCAGAGCAGCCATTTCTGCAGAATTCACCTGGCCGGGAAACGAAGCTACCTAGCAACAAGTGAAAACAAAGCTATAAGAGGAGAGCCAGGGTCTCTAGAGCAGAAAATAGGTAAGAACCTCAGCTCTGATCTCCACGATTAAAGGGAAACTGCTTCTAGAAGTGAAGGCAAAGACTCAATACCTGGCGAAAGGACCATGCTGAGCTACTACTGCGTGCACTGACTGCAGGCGCATGAAGAAATCAGTCAGCGAGCTCCTTCTGAAGCTGACTCTATAGGTGACTTTGGTGGTATACAACTGAATATTCCAGACCTTTGAGAGGCTCCATCTCCAAGGCCACAGGGCTATGTACGGTCTTGGAAGGTGGTTTCCTCCTGGCAGGCTCAGAGTCCCCTCCTCTAGAGTAACTCCTATTTTTGACTCACAAACCTCTTCAACTCTACTTAGGAACATAATGGACACCTAGATGCTGAGGACTGAAAGTTAATTTATTGGATGTGACTTCAGGACACAAACTTCCTCAGGGTTTGATGGCTGAAATTTGAGGGGGAGGGGGGGCGTGGCATTGGTACTGAATGGCCCTCACGAAGGCCCAGATCCTCCTCAGGAGCCAGGAGGATAACCATCAGCTCCTGTTCCTTTCTATCTTCTGTTCTTTATCTGCTTCAAATTCCACCTTTTTAAAAAATTAAAGAAAATTTTAAAAAGAAAACAAATCCTATCCTTTGACCACAAATATGAAGAGACACCTCTTCCAATAGCCCTGCTGGGCACTGACGGCTCCCCATAGAATGTTTCCAGAAAGATTTTTTTTTTAACTTATATTGTTCCTAGCTCACAATAAACACTCATAGATATCCGTTGACTAAAATGTTGAGTAAGAACTCCAAATTCAACACTGACCTCCCCAATAAATTACTGCAGCTAAAATACAATTAATCAAACGTGACACCTTCTGTGTCTTCTCGCAAAGACAGACCAAGGCTCCTTTTGGGAAGTCCAAACCTTTCAGAACTCTGTGAAACGTGAGACAGTACTCATCACACGGAAGCCTCCTTGTTACTTTGCTTCTTTGGAAGAACAGATATTTGAGAAACTCACTTAAATGTCCTGACTCTGAACGCTAAACACGGAATTGCAGTAGGAGGCTCAGCAGGCCCGCCTCCTGCAGTGATCACAACCTACACCCATCAGCCAAGTGTCAGGAAGTCTGCCTGTGTTCTCCACAGGTGGCACAGAGCCACCCGGACTTGTGGACAGCCACTCTTTGTTTTAAGTGGCTGTGACAAGTATACTCTCCTACACTTTTACTCTATCAGAACAAAAGCCCTCGAGGACCTGCAGAGGGCCACCCACCTGGTCTGCGGTGAGGAGAGGCTCCTCGTTGATCCCGGAATCATTCTCGCTCTTCTCGTTGAACTCTTCCTCTTCTTTCTCATGGATCTGGGGGAGGAAGGCAGACGGGACGCCGATTTACCGGCAAAGGGCTAGGGTTCTCTGCAGCTGGGTGATGCTGACTGAGAGGTCACTGCAGCCACCCCCAGTCTCAGAGGGAAGCTGCGGGAGTCCAGAGCTGCGGGCCCCCACCAAAGGTGCCCGGTCACACAGCAGTTTGTGACAGAAGAAAACAATGGGGCCAGAGCAGGCAGCACCACTTTGACTCTAAGGGATCAGTCCTGTTCTTTAACCGCTGGACAGGTCATCCTTGGGATGAGCCACCCTGCAGCACAGACACACTTACTTCACTTGCTAAGGAGTGTCAGCCTGGGGTGTGGCTCAGAATTCGTCGTATTGGGCATGTTAAGGGTAGTTGTTCCAAGCCAAATAAGCCATGGCTTTTAGAATGCAGTGCTGGGCCAGGGATATAGTTCAGCGGCTACAAGCGCCTGCCTAGCAAGATGAGGTCATGAGTTCAATCCCCAGCGCCATTAAAAAAAATAGAACTGTGATACAGTGCCACAATGCTGACAGCTGATGCAAATGTAATAAACATAACAGGGTATACCACTGAATAACCTGACCATGTGAACCAAAGGATAAGCAAAGCAAGAAAAACACAGAAAGGAGAAATTTGTTTGGCCCATTTACTCTGTGTCTCCAAAATCCCATAATCCTAAGTAACATTCTTGAGATTCACAACATTGAGATTCTAGATGTTGGAGTCCAACAGAACCGTTGTAGCACATCTGGTTTTACTGACCATATCTCAGAGTGTAGCGAAATGGCATACACGTTCAAATTCCATACAAACTAATGAGCTTGCCATAAGGAGCTCCACTTTCAGAAATCTGATTGGAAAGTCAAAGGGACTGACACGTGGGGTTTCCAGGAGATCCCTCTGCGGCAGTGCCTTCATCCAGTCTTCCTTTCTCCCGGAGAGCTGGCTGAGGATTGGTTTTCCCTTAATTCATCCTATTCTAACAGCAAACAACCGATTCAAATCCCAGCAGTCAGGCCGAGGTCATCTGTCCTCAGGAACTTTCCCCTCTGCTTCGAGCCCCTTAACAAGGCACATCACCTGCTATCTCTATCTGCTTAAATCCAGGACTAGGTAATTTTTTAAAAATTGAACAGATCGATTTGAAATGCCGGATGTGCTGCGACATTTGTCACCCCCTTGATCGCCAGGAGTGATTCACCTGACCTGGCTCGCAAGGTGGGTGCTCCCTTCCGCCCTCCATGTTCCATGTGTGTTCCTGCTGAAGCTTCGCGCTCAGTGGAGGAAGACAACCACCCCAATAGACAAGCACCAGTCCTCCGTCGGGTACAGGGACAGCCCGGATCCCCTGCTAGGACCTCCAAGCAAGCTCTCCAGATTTTAAGTGCCATCTGCTCTCCACCTGGAGCAGGGCAGGACGGGAGGGGATGGAGTCATCCGAGGGGCTGGTGTGCCAGATGGTGACATCTCATTCTGCCATCAGCCCCATATGCCGACGTGTCTGCCAAGTCTACCTCCTGAGGTAGCCGCTTGGTTTCCACGGCTCCCCACGAGCAAAAACAAAACTCTCGGGGTATCACTTTGTTCACAGCTACATTCATACGGCAGCCCTTGCTGCAGGACAGTCCTGGGGGAGACGTCAGGCTTTTCCAGAAAGATGGAAGTTTCTGCTTTCCGGTTTCTGTTTGAATTACTTTTATAAACCTCTGGCAGCCACTGTTAGTCTATGACCAGAATTTGGGGGTGAGGGTGTGGCGCTGTGGCAGATCAGTCAGACTGTCCCCTTGACTGGCTTTGGGATCCACCAGGGGCCTGGTGGGGCACACTCCCAGGGGTGTCCGTATGGCTGAGGATGTGTGGCCTTTGGTCACTCTTCTCTGGCATCACTCCCTGCTCTGCCTTCCAGGATCTTCACTCCACCACGCCCTCCCACCATGATGCCCCTGCCTTTCCGTCGGATGTTCAGGGGATAGATTCCTTGTTTTGGTTTGTTTTTGAGAAAGTCTCACCATGTAGTTCAGTATATAGATGGCCTCAGACCTATGTAGATCTTTTGCCTCAGCTTCCCAAGAACTGGGATTATATAGGCATCCACCACCAATTTAGCTCTAAATTCCCTTAATTATGAGCCAAATTAAACTCTGCTCCTTTAAATTTTGGGTGCTGGGAATTGTGTTCAGCAACAGAAAGTTGACTAATACTAGTATTAGGCGAGAAAACTGCAATATTTACATTTTCTAAAATGCATACAAAATCCAGCGTGGTGGCACACACCTTTAATCTCAGCACTTGAGAGGCTGCGGCAGGAGGATCGCTCTGAGTACGAGGCAAGCCTGAACTGCACAGAGAGGACTTGTCTAAAACAAAAACAAAAACCCCCTAAAATGCATCCAATCTCAGTGAGTTTCACTGTCTGTTAATACTGCGCCTTCCCATCCTTCCTTCCCAAGGTTCTCCCTGGGTGCCAGGCAGGAAGGGAGCTTTAAAGCAGGCGTTTCTGTGCCAATGGTAATGAACCGGGCTGCGGCGTGGAAGAGGAGCACTTTCTCCCATCTCGCTCTCAGGCCACAAAGCCTCCAGATCTGTAGTGTGCAAACTGTGTAAACAGATCTGAAAGTCAACTAGAAGCTCATGAAAGCAATGTGAGCGCCCACTCTCCTGACAGCTACACCCACTCCTCATTTTCCCGGATCTCAGAAATCTCCCACCCAAATGCACAGTGAAAGGAGAACACAAAGCATTCTGGGAAAGCCCGGCCCCTTCCCTCTTCCATCCGAGGGGCGGGTTCATCCTGTCCCGGTTCCGGTTCCCTCACATCCACCTGGTCCCTGGCTTTTGCTCCTCCTCCTGTTTTTGATTCTGCCTCTCCCATTCTTCTTCATCCTCCCTGGGCCTGGTTCCTCGGAGTCCCCTCAATCCTGCCAGACCGTTATGCCCCACGTCTCCATCTCTGCTCCATGAGCCTGTCACCTTTCCACAAGCTGGTGACAGATTCCCCAGCAGCGTCTTTTGCAGAATGGGAGCTGGAGAACAAGGAGCAGACTAAGAGAGAGGACCGGAAACCGACGGTACTTCTGTGCACGGACTCTCTTTTCCCTGGGATATGACAGACATAAGTTGGCACAGGAGCTCCCTCGGCCACCGTGCAACCATGGGGGAGCCATGTGCCAAAACAGTCCCCTGGCCGGGTCGCTCAGAGGTGCATTTCTCCATGGATTCAACTTGCTGGCTGACTCACTCTTATCTCTTGACATGAACTAGCTCTTTACCGGAAATGCTTCCTTCCCTGGATCCACACAGGCTTCTTCCATACCAAGTGGCAGGCTGCTGCTCCTCCTGCCCGAGGGGAGGGTACCAAAAGCTGTCCCTGGGCAGCAAAAGCCTGATGATGAGTGCGGTGCCTGCGGTTCAAGTTGCGGGTAGAGCTCTGCTGAGTCCTTGCATCCAACACTGACCCTCACTAGTGCCTCTGTTCAAGCATCCCTTGATGACTCCATTCACAGAAAGGCAGTTTCTGCCCTTGGCCTAATAGTTCCCTGCCTTTCCCACCAATGATTCACTTGGCTGGTTGCCTCCCTGACTAAGAAAAGAAAGGCATCTTTTTTTAACCTCCAGATGACACGTAGAAGAGAAGTCTATTGCGATGTACTCAGCTAAAGGAAAGGGCCACAGTGTCCCTTCACGCTTGTGAACAACCAGGAAACATCTGTGTGGGTGAAGTTGAGCTCTGTGTTCCCACAGTGCAGTCCTCCGCTGCACACAGCAAACACACTGAAAGAGCCAATGAGCAAACAACTAAATCCAGTCTACGGCCGCCATAGATTCATCCCACCATCCCACATAACTCAGCTTCCCCATCACCTAAAAACTAGGAGGAGGCAATGTAACATCCTGTCCTGGACTTCCGTTCCCTCTTGTCCTAGACTTCTGTTCCCTCTTGTCCTGGACAACAGCTATCCATCACGAAATCAAAGTTACAGGACTCAAAAGACATTCTCTCGTAAAGCTCAGGTGGGAACAGAACAGCTTGATTTAGTGGAAAAACCCAAAGTGGGTGGTGGCTAGCTAGGGGTGGTGGTGCCAGCTTGTAATTCCAACCCTCTAGGAGGCTGAAACAGGAAGACTGCAGACGCAAGCCCAACCTGGGAATCGCAGCAAGATGCTCTCTTAACATAAGAAGTGGGCTTGGGGATACAGTTCAGTGGCACAGCGCCTGCCTGGCCAGCGCAAGGTCCTGAGTTTGATTCTGAATATCAATCAATCAATAAATAAATAAATAAAGCACCGGGGACATGGCTCAGTGTGGGTTTAATCCTCAGTACCAGAAAAAAAAAGTGGACTAATTTTTAAATAATACAAACAAACAAACATACATACACATGTAGCTCAAGCATAATATTATTCTGATTTAAAAATACAAATCAAGTCACTTATTATTCACCAGCTCCCATGGAAGGCCAAGCTTTTTTGCCGAGCACCTGACTGGAATTTACAAGGGGTTTCCATGTCCTCAGCAGGAGCCCCGCAGCAGACCCAGGGGATATCCCGCCTCCCTCCTCTCCCAGACCCTACGAAAGTGAGAACAAGGAATCAAAAGACAGTGCCCCATCCCAGGCTGGCGAGATCGTGCAGCAAGGTCCTAAATTCAATCTCTGGTACAAAATAAGTGTCTGAAGAGACAGCAGCCAGAGAAGCCACAGGGCAGCTGCAGAAAATGCTCAGCCTCCCAGGGCCTCACTTTTCAACACAAAGGATCCCCAAGGATCACCAGACTTGTGGGGAAAATCCCCACTCTGAATGGTGCACTCTGAAATACACAGAAACGGGAACAAAAGCAACACCGAGTACTCACGGCTTTGATGGTAATGGTACACAGTGTATGACTATTCCTATCCTCTCATGATTTTGTTAGGAAATTTCATTTTATTTTCTCATGGAGCAGAAGATGCTTTTGCTATGAAACTAGCAACGGCCTTCAGGGGGACAACAGAAAGTGCTGCACCCT